TTTTCACCCAGTTCTGGCACACCTTAATGTTGGTTTTGATGGTATTTTCTGCCAGTTACTTACTTTTCTGCATGGTGGCATCATGAATCACTGGGTAAACTTGTAAGCATTCGTCTGAATGCTGAAAAAAATGGTTTTGAAAGAAACTAGATTGTAAATGTCACACTGAAAGAATTGCTTTTTATGTTCTGTTTTGGTCTAGCATCAAGTACCATGTTGTCCTAGCCAACAACTGCCAGTACTGGAAAAAATGATAATTATTAATAATTTGTAAATTAATAGTAATTAACGCTAATAGTTCTTGCCCATCATGAGTGAAAACTGAATCTGAAGATATCTGAAGGAAATTTTGGAGACTTCCACAGTCTGACATGTTCATTTCAGTAAAATATATAGATATGTTTACCTGAAAATGTGCTTTTTTTTTTTTTTTTAACGTGGCATTATTACTGCTTAAGCTTCAGAAATGTTCACTAGCTATGAGGAGATTAGAATCCACTTTGGCTATTCAGTTTACAACAGCATCCACCTTTGTCCTAAAACTACATTACTGTTCTAAAATTTGCCTCTTAAAGAAGTGGGGGTTTGGGAATTTTTTGTGTTTATGTATTTTGCTGTTTGTTTATGGTGTTTTTTTTTAATCTTGTCTTGGACTCCCAAGACTCCCAGAAGACTAGTACCGTCAAACCAGAACCTCCACTCCAGAAAAGTCAAGCCACATCTCGGGAGACTCTGTCTGAGTCCATGCAACTGTGCATTCGTGTGCATATTCCTCAGCACCCATTGATCCTTCCTGGAGAAAAAGAAGCTCTGCTTCAAACACTGACTTTATCACAGATGAAACACAGTTGTTTCAATTCAATATAGGTTCACCTACACACATATGTACTTTTCTGTCTTTATTTCTGCTCTCTTTTATCTTTGGCGTGTGTCATAACTCTTCCATGGCACTTTTATTACAGGAAAGTGAAGGAATTCACAGAACAGCTCGTTCAGAAACACAGGCAGTTTGGGCTTTATAAATGAAAACATTCATTTTGCTGTTCTGCCAGGCTTTTGACATATTTCAACAACTTTGCCAGATAAATGGGAGAAGAAGGGTAGATGGACATAGGCTACATCAGGAATTTTATGGAATCCAAAGAATTTTCCACGTTAAGTAAAACTGGGGGGAAATAAGCAGGCTGTGTCACAAGATATATGCAAAATTCAAAGCTCATATGACCTACATGGCAGTGTAGATCAGTGTTGTAACTTTTATACATACAAACACAGAGACATATATGTATGTAAAATTAGTACCATATAATCAGATATTGATCCTACCTGTAAAATTGAACATACAGATATCTTCCTATCATTACATCTCCAAATGCACTGTTACTAGAATCATAGATAAAAAAATAACTTTGTCACTTATTTTTGTGTCACTTATAAGAGAGTGAATTAGTGTGCCAGGGAGGTCTATGAAGCCTCCTTTACTGCTCTTTGTGAGCAAATCAGTTGAGCTGCTTAGATGAATAAAGTGAATTTCATCCACTAAAAAGCTCAATCAAGACAGAGGTGGTAGATAGATAGGTATATTTCTAAGCAATAGATTTCTAAATTTCTAAAGCAGCCTGAATGACAAGTGAAACTGTTATTGTAGTTGTTCAGGGTCCTTCTCACTTCAAGTGGAAAGGGTGTTTCCAAGGTGCAATCAATCTCAATCAAGAGAAAAGTCAAAAGGGCAAGCTGAGAAAAATTATTCCTGCCTACTGTGGCTAGATCTGGAAAAAAAAGAAGATTTTTTTTCTGGAAAATGGCATGAGAGGGGAGATTAATGCTTAAAATCAAGTGTAATTCTGAAAACTGCTTTAGCTGGAAGCCAAAAAAAAAAAAAAAAAAGTATCAGAGTTAAAGAGCAAAATACTGAAAATGTGAATGTGTTTTATTTTAAAAAAATACAGTTGGAAGTTTTTCATTTTGTACTCCAACCAAAAAAGTAAAAGATTTGAATTTTTTAAATCGATTTTAGAATGCATTGAATAAGTGCAAAAATGAGATGAAACACCTCACTGGGAAGCCTAAGGATTTTTAACTGACCAACAAATTAAACTAGTGATGCACTTATCACCTTGTGGATACTACTGAAAAATATTATGGTATTCCCTTTCTCTTTGCCTCATCAACCAGAAAAAAAAAAATGAAAGAAAACAAAACAAACAAACAATCCTGGTCTAATCCAGGTTTGGGTGAGTTTAAGGAGAGGGTAGCAAAATGCCAGCCAATATCCTTGCTCCCTCTGAAAGGCCCTTCTGCAAAATTGGGTGTCGCAATGTGAATTACTGCTGGAATGTACTATGTAATCTTGGCAAGAAGTCAATAGGCGCAAGCTCCTCAAATAACCAGAGCATGGTACTACGAAATCAGTGGAGCAGGCGGCAGCCCAGACAGTCAGTCCATTAGCAGCTTAACCACAGCAGATGTAAAGTCACCAACAAAACTCCCTACGGAGTCTCCCCAAGAGCCAGATGCTACTGCTATAAAAAGATCTTCCAGAAACTTGGCATGTCTCCTGGCCACATCTATTTGTTTATTTTTTATTATTTTTTTTAAAGAAACATTCTCTAGATAGGAGGTTATTTTTCTTAGTTTGCGTTTGGAGGAGGGGGAGAGAAGCATTTGAAAGGATGGAGAAGATATTGCCTATTTATTTCGGTTAGCTTGTGCATTTTCTGCTAGCAAAAACAAAATTCAGCAATAGCATGTCCAGCACAGAAGGCAATAGGCACGATTCCAGCTCTCTCCCACACAGAACTTTGCTTATGCACCTTGGCTTGACCTGCAGATCCTTCCACTACAAGCCCTGCCAAGGCACTTGGGGTCTGCATCACTGGTGTGCTAATGGGCCCAGCTTGTCTCCTAGGCTGTGCTTTGGCACTCCCGTTGTCTATTTCTATTTGCTGGTGCATCTCAGTCCAGCTAGTGTGCTTAGTCTATTGGTGCTTCTCTCTCTTACTGCTCCACCAAAGAACTTGCTTTCTTGCTTGTAGCATCATTAGGTCTTGAAGACTTTGAAGCCTTTTCTAAGCCCCAGATAGTGGACTTACATGGCTAAATGCGTGTTTCAGATGTCACTCTACTAATAGCAATAACAAATAAGTAGCAATAATAGTAATAATGTGTAAACCTTGATGTACCAATTATGTATGTGCCAATAAGATAACCACTGAACATAACACAGGCAGATGGAGACACCAATTCCATATGCACTTACCTGGATGGATGCCACCCATGTGCCCAGATACAAGGTTCACCTGTATCTGTGGATGAGGACAGATGTGGCTTTAGGAACATAGGGTGAAATATTCCTCCCAACTTAGGTATAATGTGCTAAGATGGCACCTTTTGAGGAAGCTGAGAGGCAAACAGGATGGTGGTGGTGTTTTTAATAGATGAGAATAAAAGCAGGAAACTAGCTAATTGGAGATTAAGAGTATCACTTCAACTAAAAGGACAGAAAACCCAGGTTTTAAAGTGAGAATGGAACTGGATGCCTCACATGCCCCAAGGAGGAACTGGCCAGTTGTTAACAGCTACCCTTGTCCTACTGCAGCCGATCTAGTTGTTAGTCTCATCAATGGTCTGTTCAACTCATTGTTTTGTTCATGACCAATGCTTCAGAATTGGAGCTCTAAAGTAGATCACTCAAGCTGACAATTTTTCAATTTTCTTACTTGCCCCTTCATGCACAATAAGCCCAGCCTGGAGAAAGCAGAATTGCATCATTATTAGCATCTTTCTATTAGCCTTTTGAATGTCCTTCGGCATTTTATTGCCTTTGCCATCATCATAATACTACATATAACTCTCAAGACTGTGAGTTTTCATTTATGGTTATTCAACGGTTCATTCTGTTAGCAGCTCATATATTGATGCAATTTGATTGTTTGTGTTCACTCTTCACAGCAGTTATTCTCCACGGCAATGACCAATTCTGTCATTCCCATGCAGTTGGTATGCTGGTATTATAATGTACCACCAATTAGCTTCTCTCCACCAAGTCCCCAAGATGTCCTGTCTTACAATACCCTTTACTTAAATGGAGCATCACTCGCTTAAATTGCCTAGTACTTCTTAAATGAAATGTACCCACTTTTGTGTTCTCCTTTCTCCCAAAATACAGGTTTTCTTTTCTTTTTTTTCTTTTCTGCTTTTTTTTTTTTTTCAATGATATTTCCCCAGGAAAGTGTAAACAATTTGTGTGGCTTTCATGGTTCTCAGTTTTCCTTTGCCTCTCCTGAGCAACACCAACAGTGTATATTTGCCATTTCCCCTTCCCTTTTTTATTCTCACCTTGCACAGACACAGAAACAAAGCTGAAAACAGAAGACAAAGAATCCCATGTTTTACTGAGAAAAGCTACAGGACATATATTGTAGAACGTTTTCCAGTTTTCATTGGGAAAGACATTTAACTTGTTTCATGGGTGAGACTGTTGCATGGGAGAGATATCTGGGTAGGGAAGAAAGAAAAGAGATGCATTCTGGCAAATTTGCAAGTATTGAACAGACTTATTTGTTTTGTACTTTTTCTCCTTCGCATCTCATATGCTAAAGATGAAATCTTCCAAAACTGAGAAATCTGTGAATAAATGTATACTTGATGATGAGTATTCTGCCATGGCGGGTTTTCATCAAAAACTAAGGGCATACTCTGCACACACTAAATTCATTTAGTGAGTTGATTTAGTTTCATTTCTCCCTTATTTTCTCGGATCACTCAGATTTCTGAATTGACTTGAAACAGCTATTTTGGAAGATGTAATGAACAAAACAAAAAGATAGATCTAGTTGTTTGGGAAGGAAGAAAGGAGAGGAACTGCTAAATGAAAATACTTTTTTGCTTGGCTTAGTCAGGAAGTTATCCCCCCTTTTCTCCTCTCCCTTCACAAAATTCCATTGCTGTTTTATATCCTGCATCAGAAAAAATCTTATCAGAAAGAGGAGAAAAAAAAAAAAAGAAAGAAATAGAGAATGCCCAGGTTCATATTCCAGTTTCTTCAGTTTCCCAAGTGTACTGAATCTCCACAAAGGCCATCCTCTTCCCATGAACAAAGAAGACAAAACAAACAAAAAAACATTTATCCAAATAACTTCAGGGAAAGTACATTTTGTAGCCATGTAATGGGAATCTGGGCAGTAAATTGAGAAGACATTCCATTACATCGAAATCCAAGGCCAGCATCTGGGGTTCTCGGCGCCTATCTCGTCCTAAAAATAAAATTATTTTTAAGCATTAGAGGAAGAAAGCAGAAACAAATGACATCATCAGGAATCATCCTCAGTCATTCTCATGCATCTGTACTCAGCCTGGTGACACCAAGACCTGCAGAGGTGCATCTCTTCACTATGAAAATAAAGGATCAGGTCAGGGACCAATGACATATGGTAACAAAATAACTTGGTCAGTCCCAATCTTGCAAACTTACACTCAGTATGTAAGTGATGGACAAAAGTGGTGATATGGAGAGGAGATAGAGCCAATACAGATATAGGGCTAGAGTGAAAACTCAGATTTCTAGAAAAGCAGACCAGTTCCTGAACTACTAGACAGTCTGTTTTAATCCTGTTATCCCCCTTTTATCTAAAATCAGTCTCCCATCAGCAATATTTGAGCTTCAGGGGGTTTCATTAGCTAACTTCTAGATTTCAGGCAGGATTTGGTTCTTGCCTGTAGGCATCTAGTGCAATTGGAGAGCCCCAAGGCATTCAGAGCATCCCTGCACAGCTGGAAAATATAACAAAGGCTCAGTGTGAGATCTGTCCTTGTCTGAATTGGCAGTTGGACTCATTTATGTCCCTCCATTGGACAAGCTGAATCTCTCTGTATGCTCCATCTTTCTGGACCTAGTTTAGGTTTGAAAAATCTAGATACCTAATTTTCATGCAGACACCTACTTGTAGGTAACAGCTGCTAGTGCTACCTTCCACTAATTAACCCACAGTCACATGAGTTCAAGCCACTGGGCTCAATTTGGTTGAGATGTCCCAGAGTGCCCTGGCCTCCATCTGGCCCTCCAAAAGACAGAGCTCCACCACTGACTCAGCCTCTCTTATGTGCCTCCATGGATACGACCTGAGACATTTGGAGCACCTGAAATAATACCAAGCACCTACATGTGGACAAGAGAACTGAGCCCTTGTGTCCACACTACAGATTGGCCCTCCAGCTCTACTGCTCTATGGTTTGATCTTACATGTTTAAAACTAGCTCAGATATTTGCATGATGCAAAGTCCATGTCAGAGAAGCAAGCATCAGAAGAAGCCAGACATTACCCAGCTTGTTCCTATAGAATATTTGCATTCCTGAAGGCCAAAGGCACACCAAACCTCAAGATGATGGATAACAGAATAGACAACTGATCACACCAGCATTTTGGGCTGTTTAACCAGAGCTTGCAGAGCTTTTGATTTCAGGAGAGGGCATGCACCTAAGAGACAGGCCAAGAAATAAAGGTTGACTGTCTGCTCATGACAACTTCAGATGCATGACAGGCTAGAGGGGAGGAATGTGTGCATTACCTTCACAAGAGGTCAATGTATTCTATGGCATATATCTCTCAACCCTGTTTCACACTGAAGTGGGCACTGGACAAAAAGTAGGATCAAGGGCCTTCTAGTTGTGTGAGAAAGCTTAATGTTTTCTGCTGTTTGTGTCTTTCTCACCAAATAAGGTAAAGAGTAGATTCATAGCCAATCTGAGGTTGTTTTCTATATTACTATCTACTGTAAAGGAAGAGGAGTTGGTTATAACCCAGCAGTGCACTTGTCCTGGAGGGCCTGAAGATACGTGGAAGAGTTTTAGAAGATGCAAGTGATTGCTCTGTGTTATGAATAAGGAATAGCAACTGAGGGAAGAGGTATAGTGTAAGAAAAATTGGGCAGTATAGTTACAGTAACTATGATCACAGAAAGGAGGAGATTGTCAGTTAAGTTCTTATGCTGAGATCAAGCTCTAGCTTTCCACCAGCATACGGGAATAGCAAGGAACATGAGCCACTGCTTGAGTTTTGGACTCAGATCCAGATTCCCACTGAGTTCATACCCAATGTGTTCGGATGTATTTGTTATATGCTTTATGGAAAGGGGCCATCAGCCTTTCAAGGGTAGAAACTGCATCTGTCTTCCCTTAAACATGCCAACAGAAACGCTGCAGGGAGTGGAAGATGCCACCCCGAAAGAAGCCCATCATGGCTAATTGGCGAATCAGTAGCAGATTGGTCCTCTGTGAGTCAAGAGCTTTCAACGCCCTTTCCAAACCCACCATAAACCAAAACACACTTTCTGGCCCATATGCTGCAGCTCCCAGCCCTGTGCCAGCTCTACAACTGATGACTTTTCTCCTTTAATGGCTGGTCCTGCTTCTGGGGATGAGAAAGACCTTTGGCATCAGAATGGGAATTTCCCGCTGCAGCAGGTTTAGGTTGGGGTTAAAACTTGAGACCATCTCTAAATGACAAGTAATAATCATGCTAGCTATGGCATTACCACTTTGGCTGCATGCCAGTCCAAATCCTTGGAATCTGAAAATGGAAGCCAGTACATTCTGAGAAGATAAATGCTTGTAGAAAGAATATTCAACCATAATAAGAAAAAGCAAATTTGTAGAGATTTTACATTTTGGTAATTCTTATCTTGGAACAAAAGTCCCAAAAGCCTGGATTTGACTCCTACTCAGCTCATTCTCTAGGATGCAAGTGAACATAATCAAAAGTCATTATACAGCAAACAGGTCTCAGGGGCTCGAATAATCTCAGCCCCAAAAGCAAGCAAAGTCAGGCCTGCTCAAGACAGAGTAGAAAAATAAAACAAAACCAAAGGGGAGGAAAGAAAGAAAGAAAGAAAGAAAGAAGGAAAGAAGGAAAGAAAGAAGGAAAGAAGGAAAGAA